AGATTAAAATTGATCAACATAGCGAGTGGATGTGTTGAAACAGAAACGATTCTTTTTCTATCATATCGCACTGTAAATAATGCTTCGTTTTTATTTTAAGTTATTTATTTAATTGACTGTCTGGTCTTTTAGTTGTTTTTAACCATTATTGTATTCATTTTTTACTGTGTCATTTAATTTTGATACCTTTACATTAATGTAATTTGCTTTTTGTGTCTAATCGTTAATTTATTAAACTGCTTCAAAAGCTTAATACTAGGGGACTTTAACGCTTGAGTATGGGGGGCTTCGTGCCGGTTAACGAAATATTCACCTAAGTTCAGTCGTAGGAACTGTCACACAGATATAATATTCTCGTTGCTTTTTGATTGAATTAAATAATAGGTCGTTCGAATGCGGTTTCGCGATAACAATGATAAATTTTATTTTGTAAATAAATTATTCTAATTCATGGCTCACCGCTATTGTTAATCACTTTATCCTAATGACGTTTTCAACGAAATTTTGTGTGGCATGAAAAATATTCGCAATGCAAGGTTGCATTCTGCATTATGTGAGCGAGAGACTTGAGTTAAACAAAGTTTTCATTTTGGAGAACAGTTTAACATGGAATTGTTTATTCTAGATAATAGCATAAATCGAGAGGAACGAGTAGTTTGTTGAAAGTAACCGCGCGCTACTGTCTTTCAAACAAATGCAATTTTATGATCGGTACATAACGACTGACGATGAAAATTTTCTAAGTTTAATCGAAGACGATTTCGATAAATTTATATCGACAAACGAAACCTTGAGGTATATTTTCTCGTTGCGCTTTCGATGAAACATAGTATTTCTTTCTTTTCAGTGTCCTTGTCTTTCCGCCATTCGATAGTTATCATCGTTTATTAATTCATCGGGCACGAGACCAAAACTCGAATTTATTTAGTATATCCGTCGGCGGAAAGGGTAGTCGACGAACACTTGTCTGTTTCATCGAATTAGCAGCCAAAATGGCTGATGCCACCAGCTCGTAAGTCAATTACATTATGCGAATAAATAAAATTCTCACGTTTTTGACTCTAGAACCTTCATCGACCAATCTACAATGAACAATACGACACTCGATGACATAACCAGTCAAAATAAGTAAGATAAGATGTGAAGCGTTTTGATTTGCATTCAACAGCATTTCCATTTCTTTTCAGAAATCGTCGTCCAGATCAAGTTTTGTATAAACCACGCAGTCAGACAACGAAAAATGGCGTTAATGGAGACAGTTGCGAAGCGAAAACAACAACAGAAGAAACGACGAATGATAACGTCACAGTTCCATCACCTTCCGCAACAACAGTGGCATCAAAAAAATGTTCGTCATCAAAGCCAAAATTGAAAGGTGCTCGTCCATCATTAGAAACTTACATCCCACCATCACGACGTCGTAGTACAAAAAAAGAGGAGACTTCTGTATCCGCAGAAGATAAACCGCAAATCTTGGCGACGACGACGACGACGACCACCACCACTGCTATAGATAATATTGATTCGGCTTTGTCAAATATAAAACTTTCGGACGATGCAAGTTCGGATGATTCCGCATCGTGGGATAAATTGTTTGATGACAATGGGAATGCAATCAACGAGGATGAATTTTTGGGAAAAGTATAAAGTTAAAATATTGTAATATACAATTGCTAATCTGCCTTCTTTTCTAGCTTCGGACTACATTCAAAGAAGAAGATATTTCAGTTAAAAAAGTTGCAAACGATTATTCGAAATGGTCATTGGAGGATATACAAATAAATGAAGCAGGTAAAGAAAAATGTTTTTTCCTTTCACAAGAGCAAGGACGTGACGGTTAGGTAGATATACGACTATTCTTCCTGGTTTGTGAGGAGAGCCGATAGATCTTGTTCGCACATGAGAAAGCGCTTTAGATCTGTTACTTTTTGAATCGGTCTACCGCTAGAACCGGGAAGATGTTGAAAAAAGTATTAAAATATTCCAATATTCTTGATTTAGAGTTGTGTCATGTTGTTGAAGCCTATGATTTTCCCTCGCAATTTCGTACAGAAGATTTAGCGGCCGCATTCAGAACATTAACGTGAGTATTGCGTGTGTGGAACGCTTTTTTTTCTCATAAATTTATAAACATTTTCAGACGAACTACATTTGATATCAAATGGGTTGATGATACTCATGCTCTAGTTGTTTTCCCCGATGCTAGTTCGAGTAAGAAGAATTGATAAAATCAGTAAATGAAACAAAGCACATGTTGTTTTATTTTCAGCTCTTGATGCATTACAAATGCAACATGCACTTATGAAAATTCGTCCCATGTCTCAAGCATCAGTCGCCTCTCGAAAAAAAGCAAAAACATCTAGCGGTACGAATATATTTGTGAAATGAACGGTGCAGAAACTGCAAAAAACAAACTTTTTAGAATTTCTTCAGCCGTTCAAAAATAGACCACAAACCTCGTCTCTGACGGCAAATCGCTTGATCAGCAACGCACTAGGAATTCGGAATCCAATGAGTAACGACAAAACAACAAATGAGAGACAAAAAATTGAATCTGCGAGAGGTAAGTAGTGGTTAACGGACGAGGATGGAATTCTGTGAAAGTGGCATATTACTCATTGTACCTACTCTGATCCTCCATACTTTTAGAGCAAAAGCGTCGTGACAAACAGTGCCAAAAATCTGCATGGGATGGAGATATTGAGACGTTGAACAATGGAAAATCATGATTTGCTTTCTTATCGCTAACTGAATCTCGTCTCAACTCCAGTTATTCGTGTTTTTATCAATACTATTTTCATACAGTAAATTTGACATCCACGTTTTGTTTATATTTGTGATTGCTAGAGAATCGGACATGAATGAGCGTTCAATTTGAGAAAAGATGTTTTTGCTTTTAAATATCTTCATGCACTGAATGATCAACTCCAATGAACGCATTGGTGTTGCATATTGTGAGTTGAAAAGCAGATTTTATGTACTCGATATTAATAACAAATTCTTCTCGTAAATGGGTTCTTATTTAATGTCTTTTGTTCTTGTTAATTTGTATTCGATTAAATTGCCTAGCTTTTTTACCGAACGTTTTAAGCAAAGACTTTTGTCTTTTGTGTACAATGTAATGTTATTCTTTTGTATTTTGACAAGCATGGTTCATGATTGTTATCTTTCTGTTTTTATTCAATTTGCGTACCTGTTCTCAATGTTCTTTTTTCAGTTGAATTTATTGTGGTACATTATGAATGACTTTTTTTCTTTGCCTTCTATTTCGAGCAATAGTGTTTCATTTTATTATATATTTTGTTGTTTTATTAGTGACAGAAAGAACAAATGTATACA